CTTTCTCCTGTAAGGAGGGAATCTGTGCCTGCAGAGAGGCATGGAAAGAGGAGGGCAGAGCAAGGACGAAAGAAAACACAGTTTGGATGCAGTGGAAGAGAAGCAAATGGGGGGGGGGTTCTGCTAGTCACATGCTCCTTCCTTCTGGGCCATCCTATGCCAAAAACCTGTCTACAGAATTGCATATACACCAAGAAGCAAGTGTGATGCTTCTAACATCCACCCGCTTCCGCTCTTATGAAAGCTACTTGGTCATGTGCAACTCAACAGCAACAGAGCTTTGGAATTCAAAGCAGGTCTCTCTGACTTAAAGACCGAAATGTTTCCCCGGCTTATGTTCCATCTCCCCGTCATGCCCACACAATACACCCTCGGTAATGAATACGGTAATTAATGGCTTCCCCAGATGCTAGCTGAGCTTGTTTTTAAATTCCCAGAGTCAAATAAGTTGGGGAATGTTATGAGAAGATTAGTTAGGGAAAGAAAATGGTGCACCATTTATCAGCCCGAAACATTCAGAATTGTCGTTCATAAGAAATAAGCTCATTATTAAAGGAAGATTACTTTGCTTGTCTTTATGTGACTATTTTAAAAATTAACTTTTTTTTCTTTATAGCAAGGGTAATGAATGCATACTCATCTAATACAAATTGGGAAATAAAGATAAGCAAATAATACAAAATTGAACACTCACACACTCCCTCCCCATAGATATAATTATAGTATGTACCTCAGCATCTATCCTTCTAGACTTTTTAGGCTTTTACATGGCGCTTTTTATGTTGTAGCATTTTTTTTCTGCTTTACACCTGCTGAACAACATTCCATATCAGTACATTTGCCTTTTTATGATAACTTCTTGCAATAAATAATTTCGTTTGACTTTAAAACACAGTTGTTTATCCAGAAGTCAGACACTGATGCTTAATAGGACATCTGAAGAGCACGGGGTTGGCTGTGTGTGGACATCCAGAAATTCAAAGCACAGTACAAAGTAGAGAGACAATTACAACCAGTTTGACAGTCGTGTGTGTTTCCTGGGGTCCTTCTACCCACATGTCTACTGCTGACTTCAAAGAAAAGTCAGCACAGTGGAGGTCCGGAGGATAAGGTGCAAAATGAGAATCAGCCCATGATAAGAGATTAAAGGAGGGTTCATCAAAGACTCAGCTTTAAAGCGCTGGCCTGTGACTTGCCTTGGCCTATGGCCCCCAAATATTCATCAGAACAGAACTTTCTTTGAAGTGGTGGCAAGCACTGACACTCAGAGTGATCTCTGGTCAGTGGGATTTACCAAGAGGCACTGGAAGTAGCTCGCAAAACTGCTGATTCTGATTCCCTGCTCTCTGCTTGTCTCTGAATGCTGTTTCTCTGGGCTAGTACAGATGCTAGGATCCGGCAAGAAAAGCTGGTCTGAGAACGAATACTAATCCATTTCCCTTATGGTAGGGGAGTATGGGAAGTTCACATACACTCAAGGGACTGATTTTTATCCTCACGAGCACAGAGTTTCAACCAACACCATTATTTCTATCCAAAGCGTTTGATGGGGTGGGGGGTGTGTTATTCCAACCTGGCAATAAGGTCCACCTACCACTCCTCCCACTCTTCACTGTGCCAGCTCAGGGCTTCCTTATGACTTTACAGTAGACGGTGCAGTCCGACGGTGTTCCCATAAGCCACCCGCATACCTGGAGAGAGAATGAATGAATGGACTTGTTCCCCAAATGCCAGTGGCTTTTACAACACCTACCTTTAATTTTTCAAGCAGAAAAGCTCCAAAAAATGTACAGAGTGTAGTTCTAGAAGGTCTTTAGTTAGTATATTCAGGCTCCATGTTTGTGGGGTTTCACTTTACATGACAATCTTAATGGGGGGGAGGAGTTGGTTTCAACTTTCTTCTGGTATCATATCTCTATTTCCTTCAAAGTTCAAGGAAATTCTTTTCTTTCCTTCGATTTTTAGGTTTTCTTTCTATTTTCTTTACTTCTTTCTTTCTTTTTTGCTTCCTTCCTTCCTCCCTCCCTTCCTTCTTTCTTGTTTTATTTTGAGATGGCTTCTCTGTATAGCCCTGGCTGTTCTAGAGCTTACTCTGTAGACCAGGCAGGTTTTAAACTCACCGAGTTCCACCTGCCTCTGCCTCTGCCTCTGGGGTGTTGGTAGGTTTTCTTATGTTGGCCTGTTGTGCTAAGACTAGGATTCCTCCTGGCAGGTCTGGAGCAAGCAGGGTTTGACTCTGTGAGACCTGAGGAATGAATGTATCACCTTCATGGAGCTGAAGTTTAGATTGGGGGGAAATCGAACTTGTTTCCATGTGATAAATAGGATACGAGCTAACATGGGTATTGTGGAGATGCTTTTGGGCAAGGTGAAGGATTTAAGCTGGGTTTTAAAAGTGTCTTTAGTTTCCTTGGGTGCAAAGAACACAAAAGATACTGTAGCAGAAGGTGGGGGCTGGGACAACCAGGTCAAAGTTCCAGAAGCAGAAAACTGATCTGTTTCACAGCAGAAGCTGATTTGACCGGGGCAGGTGCCTCATATGAGGAAATAAAGACAGCAACTTCATTAGCTGCATTGGGTTAAAATATGTTGTGGAATCCCTGGGGTGCTTCTTATCTTAATTTTAATTTTGTTTTGACTTTGTTTGTTTGGGTTTGCTATTTGTTTGTTTGTTTGTTTTAAGGAGTGTAAAGGACTACATTGGAACTTTAGTCGGAAAGCACCTTCCTGAAATATTGTGAAACCATTAATCTGCTTGCAGAACACAGGGTAAATTGGGGTGGATGGGGCCTAGGGCCAAGGCTTGGGAAAGAGCATGGCCTGACATAAAATAAAGAGTTGGACTGGAACAGATAGAGTGGACTTTGGAGGCAGTAAAAGAGGAACCGAGCTGACTCGGCGGAGGAGAAGGGACTCAGATTAGACATAATAGACCATTAATAGAGCATTAATAGATGTCAGTTGATGGGCATGCAACAAGATTAATACCATCGGTAAATTGGTGAGGCATATAGAGAAAGTATTCACAATGAAAAGTACAAAGGGGCTTCTTCTGGGCACTAAAGGTTGAATGAGGCCGTGAACTCAGCAGGGTCTAGAGAGAGGCATCTTCCTTATAGCTCAGAGTCACAAAATTTTAGGAAAGAAGTGGAACATGAATGTAAGTGGAACAGGAATTGGAAAGATGCAGAGAAGGAATCCAAGAAGTGTTATGAGGAAGTCAGAAGCAAGGACTCAGGACTAAGGAGCATGGGAGCATCCCAGCACACCCAGTGGCCCTGTCTCCTGGGAACAGAGGTAAATAAAGATTAGATAGGATCATGGGAAGAGGAAGGCTTCAAGACCAAGTCAAAGACTTTGTCATTTAACCTGGGAAACGGCACACCACTGACATTGTTGAGTAATGTTGTGGCCCGTGCTAAAGGGTCTCTAGGGAGTTTAATCTGAAAGATAAGAATATATAAAAGAGAGTCAGTGGGATGCACTGATAACAGAAAATGAAGGGGTAAATGGGCTTGATATCGAGCTTGTTATTGGCATTGAAAATAACTGAGAAATTAAAATTAACAAAAGGGTGGAAGAAATACAGAGTCTTACCTAAGAACTCAATTTTGAGCGCCTGTGCTAACAATGCGCTGTATACCATAGCATGGAAGTTGAGAGATGACTCATTTGGGGTAAACCCCCAAAAGGTTTAAGAGTTAGGCTTGAGGTGTTCGACAAGGAAACACAGTCGAAAGGTTCTTACAATTAGGGCCTTGAAACTCAGCTGCAAAACTAACCATACCAAGCTGGAGACAAAAAAAAGAATCCACACAGCTCAGCAATTGTTTGAAGTTTTGAGTTAATTAATTAATTAATTAATTCAGAAAGTGAAGCGCTTTCAGAAGCCCACTTGAGCATATATGCTCTGCTGATACCAAGCAATTCTCAATTGCTCCTTTCTTTTCACCATGAAACACTTGAACCGACCGTGAGAAAGAAAGCCCGAAGGATTGTAGGGGGTGGGCCTGCTCTCCTCCAAGTGTAAAGTGGCTATGAGCTCTGTGCCTTATCTTCAGAGTGTAATAGTTCATCTCTTACCAGTTACAGTGCCGAAAAGTACATGTGAATACTCTCTGTGAATACTCAGGTTCGTGATTTCACCACAGTTTTCTAAGATGGAAGAGTGGGCTTCAGAAAAATCGTGCAAGCTTTCAGCCAATTTTATGACAGATTCTCCATAAACAAATGAAAATTGGGCGTGAATTTTAATTGCAGAATTTTGTAAGCAGGACCCGAGAGATAGCTCAATGGGTAAAGGCTCCTGCTGCCAAATGTGGCCATTTGAATTTGATCCCAGAATCCACATAGATGAAGGAGAGCACCAACTTCCACGAGTTGTCCTCTGACCGTACATTCAGGCTCTGGCACATCTGTGCACACACACACACATAAATAAACTAAAATAGAGTAATAATTTAAAGAACTGTAAGCAAGATACACAGATGAATGTTGGGTTTCAGATCCTTACTGAGCCGATAAAAATTCATGAGCAGTCAGTCCTGCATCCTTTGGAGTTCAGAGATAATTTGAGAGACACAACACCCTGGAAAGCAAACAGCAAGCAAAACTTATCAGCTTGCAGAATGACACCATGTTACCTACAGGCCGAGATGGCAACAACAAAGCCGTCCTATAATTCTATTTCCTTGAAGTAGTAAACAGCAGGAAGGTCAGTTACTGAGAGCCGGGTACAAGGAGACATTGAAGGGAAAGGTGAGGACTTAGGATGGAGGACTTGAATCACTCAGAAATCAAATGAAGATACTATAATCATAAGGAGACAGGAGGCTACGGACGTGTACCCATCATGATGCCATCAGAATGAACTATTCTATAAAGACAAGGAAGGAGCCCCTGTGCCACTGCACAGTGAAGAAGGAAAAGCCTTCCTATCTCCGCCCAGCCTAGTTAAGCAACGCATCTTTCATTTGACTGGGTCCTTTCTCTGCTTGCAGCTGCTCGACTGATCCAGAACATGGATGCCTCTGCTGAGCCGTGTACAGACTTCTTCAGATACGCCTGCGGAGGCTGGTTGAAACGCAACGTCATTCCCGAGACCAGTTCCCGATACAGTAATTTTGACATTTTAAGAGATGAGCTAGAAGTCGTTTTGAAAGGTTAGTGTTGATTGTGTCTGAGAATTGAAGTTTTTTCCTCTGACAGCCATCTTTTTATAAGATGTACTTGTCGGCCATTACAGGAAATATTGCAAAAGATTAGAGTTGCAGACCTTCATTGCATCACTCTGAGGGCAGTAGACACCAAAATGGATGTGTTGACATCTCTTAACTCCCTGCTTTAATTATAGATACACAAAACTCTTCATCCCTAGTGATGGTGTCTGTGTGTCATTTTATAGATGGGAAATGTTTCATGGTTGCCACTGAACCATTTCCAATGACTCCCCAACTCAGTCCCATGCTACGTTAAAGTTGCTGAAGATTTTAGCAGGCTTTGTCTTCTCTGAAACGTAATGTTTAAACCCATCTCTACCATCTCCATCCACCTCATTATCTTCTAGAAGATGCTTTGTAGGAAAAATTGGAGTTTTCTATGATTTAATATCTAAGCAGGGAGAACAATTCATTTGAATCATGCTTTGCACATCCACACAAAGATAATTATTTTCTAATCGTCAAGAGGATTAGCGACACTAAGTACCAAATTTCTTGGTGCTATTTGTTTTGTTTTTATTCTGAAATTCAAGAAAAGGAAGGGGTACCTGAAGCTGAGAAATACACCCACAGACACACAAACATACACGCATACATTCACAGTCCTCTCAAAAAGACATACACGTAACTTGCCTAGAGGAGCAAACCCTACTTTTGTTCTAGGAATTATGGCTTGGTTTTTCTCAGGATTTGGGAGTGGGGAGAGAGAAAAAATTTATTTTTAATTAGACCTATGTTGAAAAAATTTTAATAGCAGCCAAAACTCAGCAATTCTTTTGATGCATTTTACTGAATGCCCTATTTCAGATGTCCTTGAAGAACCCAAAACAGAAGACATAGTGGCAGTGCAGAAGGCCAAAACCTTGTACAGGTCTTGTATGAATGAGTGTAAGTGTTCTTTACTTCAAATACGTGCAGATTCCTAACAAACTATGGACAGAAAATGCATAGCCCCACTCTGAATTGCTTTTCCTTGTTCCAAAAAGCTGCTATTGATAACAGAGGCGGACAACCTTTACTCAAACTGTTACCAGACATATACGGGTGGCCAGTAGCATCGGAAAACTGGGAGCAAACTTACGGTAAGACAGTTTCCCTCTTTTTGAAATTAATAATTTCCACGTTATAGCCCTGCTAATGAAACACAGCTTCAGAAAACGTGCCTCGCCTTCTGTTCCTTTAGGTACTTCGTGGACTGCTGAGAAAGCTATTGCACAACTGAATTCTAAATATGGGAAAAAAGTCCTCATTAATTTTTTCGTTGGCACTGACGATAAGAATTCTACCCACCATATAATTCATGTAAGTGTGTATGTCTGGCAGCCAAAACTCTCTCTAAGTTGTAATGACATTTCCACGTGCGTTGTTTTCATTGATGTTTGAAGAATGCCAATTCTCCCTTTCGCTGCATGAACTTGGGGGTAATAAATCCATGCCGTGACTCTCAGCCTTGGGGCTCCATGTTCAAAGGGTTTTTAGTGATGTGCTTTGGACACTCACCTCTCGCACAGTTGTCTCTATTTTAGAGAGCTCCCTAGGACCCTCTTATTATGAAAGTAACTCCCAGTTTCTTTGTATGCTTCATGCTTTGGTTTACATAAAGTAATGCAGGCCTGAAAACCAAAAATTCCTCTTTAATTTAAAATAAAAAGCCCTGAAGGGGATTTTGAACGCAGTTTTGGGTTCTCACTAAAGATCTACTTACTTTTCATCTCAGGTGAGGCTAAAACAAAACAAAACAAAACACCATCCTTTTAAGGGCCTTCATGTGGAGCTGTGGGGCAGTTCTTCCTACACATTCCTTGTGTGTATGTTTCCTGCAGATTGCGTTGGGCTCCTCAAACCATCAGAGATCCCCACCTCCATCTGCCAATACTCTAGTTTACCAATGCATCCATTCTGCCGTACACTGCATAGGAAGCAGCCTTATTAAACTGTCACTGTGACCACCTGCCCTTCACGTCAGTGCCCAAGGTGGAGCCGAAACACAAGAGTGGCAGAGTTTTCTCTCACATGCCCAGCTACTGTCTGAGCCTGCTAAAATCTGTCTGAGCCAAGACCTCTGGGGACAGCTTAGAGGGCGGCTTCTCCCTGCCTTTTTGGTAGACAGTCTCAAAAATTTCTGGTGACGTTGACGTTGGCAAATCAGTTGTGGAGTGATTGTAGCAGTTTTACACGCCTCCACTACCACACACTCAATTAAGACACGGCTTACTTCTCCCAGTTAGAATGTACCCCAGTTAAGGGTGGTGCAGACAAATATGCCCCCCAAGGGACCATATTAGAATGTCCCGAAACTGGGAAGTCCTGTAATTGTGGAATCTGGTACTCACTGGGCCAGGATCCTCATATTCTTTGGTTTGTTTTTACTTTCTGCTCTGAATTTAAAATCATTCCCAGGGTATTTTTAGTTCAAGTTTTTTTGTTTTGTTTTGTTTTGTTTTGTTTAGTTTTCATTCCCATCTACACAATGAAATCCCCCGGATTATGTCCCTGCCCATGCATTTATCACTTGCAAGGGGTGTAAAATCCTTTCCCTAGCTGTTTGTTTACTCCATTTCCGACTCTTACACTTAAAAACATCAGGGAGAGTGCGCCTCGTTGTAGTTTATCCGAATGTCTTACTTGCTGAGTAATTTGTTTTCTTTGATGTATATTGTTTTATAGTTTGACCAGCCTCGACTTGGCCTCCCTTCCAGAGACTACTATGAGTGTACTGAAATATATAAAGAGGTAAGTCAAAGCAGAGAGAGAAAAGAATCAGCCACAGACTGCAGAGCCATCTGTGCAAGCTTTAAGAACAAGAGCCAAATTGAAAACTCCTTACATTCTTTGCTGGGGAAATACCAAAGCCTCATAGCTCCGGAGCTCCTTTGATAGAAGGAACACGCCCCCTAGACCAATGGAAGTCAATAAGGAAGCTGGGAATTCCTCACGTGAATTTTGATTCTTAGTGTTTAAGTTATATGATAAATTTTTAAAACTCAGTTTTCAATGTTTCCATTCATGTCTAAAATAGATCATTTAAAGAAAAGCAAAAAGTGTTAGATTAACTGTAGTCAGTAAGGACGAAGGATGGATTGGTACAGGGGAAAGTACCCTCCCAGAACTTTCCAGAGAGCTAGGCAGATAGCAGCCTCTACTCCCTTTCCCATAGCATCGAAGCCATGGACGTCACATCCCACACAACTGCTAACCTAGATTGTGTTCTTACTAGCTCACAAGCTTTCCTGCCTTAGGCTATTGTGAACGTGTACTTTCTTACTGATGCAAGGAGCCCCAGTAGACAAAACCAGAAATGTTGAGTGTGATTAGCTATCAGAAGGAAGATGTTTGTTCGTTAGGTCCTTTGCTCATAACTCTTTGGAAACACAGAAGAAAATTATGGTTGCTTTTCTTGATCCTCAAGAGTCACATTGTTGTACTCCCTGTGGCCTCAGTGGCCTTTAATTGTATACTTCTAATTTCAACCTCCTCTGGAATTTACATTAGTTTGCCTGGTTGGATTGACTCATTGTGCCATATTCATGTTTAAGGCCAAAGGGGAATAGAAAAGAAGGGGAGTGCTGGATAATTCTTCTCATTTTTGAACTAGTAGGTTTCTTTGGATTTGAGTAAGGGTTTACTCTGTGGTACAGGCTGATGAGACTGTCATGTTGCTCCCACTAAGTATAAAGAAGGTTAGCAAGTATCACCTGAATTTACTCCTGTTTTTGATGCTATTGTGAATTGGATTATTTCTCATTTTTATGTCAAGTAATTCAGTTTTTGTTTGCGTAAGCGCTACTAATCTTTGTGCATATGTTTCTTTTAGATCTTCTCAGTTCTAACTCTATTTTTGATGGCATCTTTAGCATTTTCTGCGTATGAGATCACGCCATTGGCAAACAGTTTATTTCACTGCTTCCTTTCCTATATAGACACCATTTATTTCTTGTGCTCGCCTTATGTTCTGTCTGGTACTTTTAGTACCATCTTGAACAGACATGCTTGTCAGGCTTCTCACCTTGGAGAGACAGTGTTCAGCTTTTCACCAGTAAATCTCATGTTAGCCATGGACTTGTCCTTGTGGCCTTTACTGTGCTGAAGGATGTCTCTCTTGAACTTGAGCTTTTGAAAGTTTTTTTTTAGGAATCATGTTGAGTTTTACCATCATTAAGATGACCATGTGGTTTTGTATTTCATTTGGTTAACATAGTGTGTAAGATCTATTGATTATTATTGAATGATACTTGCATATAATTTTATCTTAATCATGGACAAAAGTCTTTTTATATTCTTTCAAATGCTTATCATAAACTCATCAGCATTTTACTGAGGATTTTACTCTGGTCATCATCATGGATATTTGTTCATTGATACTTGTTTCTTTTATCGTAGTTACTTTGCCTGATTTGGGGATCAGAGTTGGGCTCATAAAATTGTTTGTAAGATTTTTCAAATCTTCCAGAAACTGAAAAGGTGTGCACCACTACCACCCAGCTGACTTCTCATTTTAAAGACTATGCATATCATCAGTTCCCAGATGAGTTAATTTCCATAAGTCGGAGAGTGATTTTGTTGTCATTTAGTGGGCACTATAGCCTAGACATGCCATTTAGGAATACCATGGGTCAGTTTAATCATAAAATTTGTAATTGTTCTCTTCATTAGCTTTTTGACAATGAGGGTACATATTGAATCTCAAGAAATTGCCTGTAAGAGAACTCCTCAGAAAGGAATACATGTACAACATGTCTGCTTTTAATGACAACTGTTCTCAAAGTTAGCTTAGCAAGCAGTCTATAATGGTAGAGTTCCCCTTTGGCAAGAGAATTTATGGCTCCTCTGATTATCTGAGGAGCTAGTTAATGATACACTGTTCTCCAAAAGACAGAAGTAATGAGGTACAAAGCAAAAGTGTAAACATCTATTCTGAGAAAACAATGTGAAGGGTATACATTGCCTGTAAATGATAATCATTCCCAATAATGGAATTCCAGCCAACCATCTCACATGAGAAAGCCCTCTTATAAAAAGACAAATCATCTTAATTTTCTTCAGAAATGTCCCTCCTTAAGAAAGCCCCCAAGCTCCCAAGGCTCTGTACTGGGGATGAATTAAGGTTGGACTCAAGGCTTCTTTTTATCTACTTTTTTACTTTATTAAGGCTAATTACCATCTCCTTCTTTGTAAAGAAATGTGTAGACTGGAAACCTAAAATATCTGCCTATGATTGTAGATATTCTTATGTTCTGTGCAAATGTTCATCTGACAAGGCAGAATAGGCTAGGGTAGTAGTTCCCATACCTATTCTGTGTGTACCAATGACAGTTTTCACATTCCACTCTCAAAGAAAAGCCATCATGATTATTTTACATTTTTATTTAATCATCAATAAAATACTTGGTTGAACCACGCATTTAGGGATAAAATAAAATGAGGAAATCTGCCAGTGAGAAGTTGAATCTGAGGAGGGACAGAAGTAGGAGATGCAAAGCCATGTGTTGTAGTGATGCAAGGCCACAGTTAGAGAGAGAAAGCCAAGAGCTATGCATTGACTTAGAACTCTTCTAAAACTAGTGGGCTCATAAAACAGGGAGGCATTTTAGTGAAGAGGATAAAGAGTTTGAAATATGGTCATAGTCCATCAAAGCCAGAAAGAGATGACCCAAGGCCTGTGTGTCTAAATCAGAGAGAGAAAAGACAGATTCCTCCCCCTCCCTCAATTCCATAAACTCCAGGAAAAAGCACAGACTGAGATTTGTCATCGTAGAGATGAACATGCTCAAGCAAACTAAGATTAATTGTAGAGATTTTGCTTTCTGGTTTACCCAAAGTGTAAACTAATGAATGTTGCTATGGTCTGGAGATGTTCTGATCAAGTAGAAATGAGTAAAAACCTTCTTAATGTACACTTACATTTTAACTTCAGTATTTTCGCTTAATAAATATCCGTTGATTTTATATCATTGTAACAACTCTTGTAAGCAGTGGCAATTTTGAGACATTATTTTTGCTTTCATTGAATTTAAGCAATGCAGGAATAAAAGAGACAGAATTGAAAAAGGACATAATGGAAGGACATACTGTAAGTCGAGGAAGTATTAAGATGAAAATAAAATGTTGATGTCCTAATGAATAAGTGAGTGGATGAGCTATTTAGATTCCATTCAATTGAACTTTGAAAAGGATCTCTCTGGCTGGAGTGAGTGGACCATACTGTAATGTTTCTTAGAAAGGCTCATTTGGTCATTTATGCAGAAGGGGGTGATAGACTTGATGAGGGCAAGTGTATCTAAGATAAGTTGCAGGATGGCCCACTCATCATAGACTAAATGTGTACTTTAAGCTCCTGAGCTAATATATATGGCCAGGAGTTTCTCTGTGTACTAGCATTTGCATTCATATGGTACAAAGAGCATGACTGGCCTCATTTTCTTCTCTCTGGGTACCCAGAAAGAGACAACCCTGGTATATGCATTTAACAAAATATGAAGGGCCATTTTATTTTCAGCTTAGTAAATTTGAGCAAAGAATTTTTAGAGATTGAAAGCAGTTTGTGAAAACTCTGGTTCCCTGCATCGACAATAAACCTTTGAAAATCTTATACAAACCTTCAGGTTCTTTCTGATAACCTACCAGCAGCCTCAGTCCCCTCCCGGGGCAGAGGGACATCCTCCTGGGTCCTGTATTCTTCAACTTCTGTTGTAGACTTTTTTTTAGGTTCAGCTATGTCTCATCCCTGGTTCCCAGGAGCAGGTAAACAATTCTCCATATACAAGCCATCTAAGAAGAGCAAGTTTTTGTGTTAGCAGTGGCATGTTGTTTAATAGGAGGTTTCTGAGCCCTTTAGATAGGAAGTATCTTTCTAGCTTGATGTCCTTGGTACACTTTGGGTATTCTATCAATAAGCTTCCTGAGTGTCGCTTAAATATCCCCAGTATTAATAGCTAACTCAAACATAGTTCTGTGACTTCTCCATTACTTCCTGATCTACATTTTGTAGCTTTTCCTCAGAGGAAGGAAAAATCAAATAAGAGCTGAGTGTTACAACCAAAATATCTAGACATGAAACGCTTGATCTTATGGGTTACCACCAGGGTACCCAGACATCAGCCAATCTGACTGGAGAGCTTTCTTCTTTTTTTTTGTGGATCTTAATGTCATTCATTAGCAATGATATTTACAGGCTAACGCACAATAGTAAAATGGCCTTACATTGCTGTTGTGTTCCTCTTTAGCAATTCCAATAATGTCCAGAACTTGAAGAATACAGGACCCAGGAGGATGTCCCTCCAGGAGGATGTCCCAGGCTAGTGGGATGTAGCATAGAAACACCATTATCTGCTACTGTAAAATGGAAATCATTTTTATTAAAGCAATAATCCATGGTGATAGGATTAGTAAATAATATTTTTGTTAATGTGTGGTTTAAAAGCCTACAAAATTGCCTCTATATGGATGGATTTTATATAGCCTTTTCAAAGCAATTGTTCCTTCCAAACTACTTTTGTTGGTGTTAGGATTTATAATCCACTTTTCTAACAAAGGGCTATTCGATGCTTTCAGGTTCCTCTCCACTGAAAGGATCCCTCATTTACGGTCTTTTCAAAGACATAACTGTTAAAAGATAACAGTTCATTCTTGTCCCCTCCTTGTTAACTAAATCTTCTCTAAATCACAAGAAAGGAAAACTAATTTTCACTTTCAAAAATATCTCAGTTTCTCCAAATCTGCATACTTGATATCATTTGGCATGTTACATGCTTAAAAATGAGAAAAAGTTAAAGCCCTTGGTTTAGACTCTTGGAGCAGTGAGATTGGGTTCTGACAACTACTGCAGGAATTTGGAAAGAAAAGATGCTAAAAAATCCATGTTTTAAGGGGAAGTGTGTTCTATGCAAGTGTGCCCTGAGCACACAGTATGAGCTCTCACCAGTTCAGCAGGTCTAAAGGGTTGTCTTGTGATGTCAGCCACCAAGATGTGATCCACAGTCATCAGGTACAACTGTAAAGAGCAAGAATTAGACTGCAGAATCAACAAAGAACACAGGATTCTTGTTTTCTCTCCTCATTAGCAAACATGTATCTCATATAGTAAAGGGAAATCTCAAAAGACTGAGATTAGAAAATTAAAGTTACCGTCTCCATCATAAGCCAGGAGTGATTCCCTGCTGGAAGCAGATGGATTTATATGCTTTGAAATACAGTTAATTCAAAACACTACATTCTTATACTTTGGACTAGGTGGTCCCATGAGGTATGAACCCAGACATACTTGCTCCCTTCAAAGCAAAACAAGAACTCTGATTAGCTTTTAATGGGAAAAGAGTGAAGTTGGCAATAACTCACGCGAAATTATCTTTCATTACTACTGCCTTGGTGATTGAGATTTAAATGTAAGTACAAATCCAAACACATAGTTTGTGCTGCTAAAAAGCATGGGCGGAAACACTCTCTGCATCGCCATAACACTTCAATATATCTCTCTAAAGAGAAAGTCCATGTCTCCAGGAAACTATTTAGGATTTAGTGAGGGTCATAGGTAGCAGCTGTACATTGAGTTTTGGAGATTCGTAGTAATTGCACATTTTGTATAAGGCTCTTGCTTAATAACATCTTTTCACTTCGATGTTTAGTTTATGTTTGATGGTGAACACCAGCAAGCACACAAGTACCTCTCTGTTCGAATTGAGTAGAAGAGTGCCCTTTGTGCTTGTAAATCATTAGCTGGGATATAGAACTGTCCTGAAGCTGAGAATGGTACACCCTTTTAGCACACCTTAGAACCTTAATTTGTATTTACCCGGATACCCGGTCTTGGAAGCACCAAAGGCTCCACTTAGCCCCAAGTTGTGTGGCAGATTTCTCCTGCTGATAGTGACCTGCTTTACTAAGAGTAAAGCTCCTGCCAGAGAGTTGAATTTAGGTAAATTTTTAAAAATCAGAGCTTATTTTTAATTACTGATGCATAATAATATCGAATAAGTAGCGGGGTGTTGAAACTTATCAAAAGAAGGATTGAATTCTCCTGGTTTTAATGTCGCTGAATTTAAATAATGCATTTGTATGATTCACAAAATCTTAGCACTGCAAATAGTTTATTGCTTCTGCTTATCTGAAGATAAAATACAAAGATATTGAGCTTATGGAAGAAATGTGGCATCGAATCTATGGTATCTTCTAGTACAACTTCACAGTAAAATGGGGAGAATTAGAACCTTTGGTTGTTTGTTGAAGGAACCCCTTAGAACAGTCTCAAAAAATTAACTTTGCCCAAGATATGAAGATGTCCTGATCATACTATATGAATTTGTAACTGCCTCTTCATGAAAAGTTGAAAAAATACTTTCATATATATATATATATGTATATATATGTGTGTGTGTGTGTGTGTGTATATGTGTGTGTGTGTGTATATATATATATATATGTCAACCTGAGGGAAAATATTTACTAAAGGAAAAGAAGTAGTTGTGTAATTACTTGGCAAATGCTTTACAACTGTATTTTTTATAAAAGCAAATAACTGTATTGAAAATAACATAGTCTCCATAGACAAATGACCATAAATTAAGCCATTCCAAATGATAGTTTATTGCAATGCCTCTGTTCTAATTAAAGGAGTTATACAAGTCATTTCTTTTAGCACTTAGAAACTATTTCCATTTTATTGTGCTTTTTCTGCTACAGAAAATTAATGTTTTAAAATCCCTTATGTGCCATGATGAATATCAGAAAGCTCCCCCAACAACTTACTACTTATTTCTTGCAGGCTTGCACAGCCTATGTGGATTTTATGATTTCTGTGGCCAGACTGATTCGTCAGGAAGAAGGATTGTCGATTGACGAAAACCAGCTCTCTTTGGAAATGAATAGAGTTATGGACTTGGAAAAAGAAATTGCCAATGTAAAGCACATTATTTTTCCAGGATTCTGAATAATATCAACCACTTTTTTTGTTTCATTCCCTCCTCTCTATGCCATTTTAAAGTTAAAAGTCTCGCTTTTTCAGTCAGTGATAAAAATGCATAGGCCAGTAATGGGTCATTGACTTCAGGAGAACCTTTGAAACTATAGAATTTCCTAAAATCCAAAAGACTCGCTACCTTTGACAAATAGCAAACAGGCTGCGTTTCGTCGCCTACCTATATAGTAAGCAGTTGCATCAAAACCTTACACTCAGACTGTGAGATGCCCTCATGACCCAGGAAGACACATGCAAAACCATGGCAGTTTTTTAAAACCGTTTTTACTTTGTTATTTTGAAAGACAAAGTGTCTTCAAAGATCATCTCTGTCCTTCTGCTAAGAATATGGTTAGAAGATAAAGTGAGGCCACTGATTTCAGCCTCTGAGATAGCAGTTTGGGGAATATAGAAAAACCTTAGCAACAGAGCCAAGGGAGTTTCTCTATTTCCCCTGCTACCAAGCAAGCCCTTGGAGACTGACACTCTGCTCTGAGCCTTCAGAGGGGCCATGCAGGCATGAGCAAGTGAACTTTGGCCCTAGGCAATACACAGATTAGTGATTGTGCCTGCTCTCCGTTTCTTAACAGTACAAGCAAAACCCTGTTCCCTTAGGTCCCCCATCGGCTCACCACTGCCATCTGGCCTTATCAGAATCTTGAAGACCGAAGAAAAACAGAGAGTGATTTTAGACTTGCTAGGGCAACATAAAACCACCCCCCACCACCCTGACCCTCAACCAGAGTCTGACTGCTTGGAGGAGCAACTCGGTGGAGGATAGTCTGATGGGCCACATGTGGTGCTCAGAGGGAAACTGACTTGCTAGAGTTTCTTGTCCTGCGATTTTATCCCTCCTCTGTTCTCAGACCATGTACCCTTGGGCAGCGTTGGCTCTGTGGTCATTACTCCATACTGCCTCCGATATAGTTGCCAGTGTACTAGGCCTCCCCCTGCCTTAAGCTCTGAGGATGGCCTCGGGTCATAGACATCTTTAAGCCACTCATGTGTACCTAACAGTGTACACATTGCCTCGTATGAAGATGTTCAGTACTGATTGTCTTCATTGATGAGTAGATACATTACTCAAAGGGGACATTGTCACACAATTCTCATTCTACACCTCCCTTTTTTGTGTCTTCCCACCATTCATCCCAAACGCTAACTTGGGAGTTGCTGTCATAACTTAATCTTTAGAGTCAGTGAACACAATGCAGAACACTAATTAGTCAGAAGGAAGGGTGGTCACGATAGTAGGAGAGTGGCCGTTCTTCTTGACCAACTTGCAACCGACCTACCATGCTCTAAGAGTTTGCTGTGCCAACTGCCATAAATTGTTGAAAACACTTTTGTGTTTCCCTTCCCCGGGGCTTAATTTTAACTAGAATACTGGATTATAAATTGAGTGTAGAAGGCAGTCTTTGGAAGATAAATTGGAGACGACTATATCAAAAGAAAGATATAAAATATGAAATAGCAACCGACCTAACTGAATAGACCATTAGCCACAAATATTAATTAGGGGCTTGGACAGTTATCAAAGCGTAAAAAGATTTTTGAAAAATTTTAAGTGTGATGCTCTGGGTAAATATCATTAATTATTACTGAATGTACATAAAATGATAAATTTTGAACAAAAATCAAATTATCTTATACCTATTCTACACTCTATTTTTCAACATATTTATTCTTCTAAGATAACAAGCAAATATTAAATCCCTAGGCTACAACTAAACCTGAAGACCGAAATGACCCAATGTTGCTTTATAACAAAATGACTCTGGCCGAGCTCCAACGTAATTTTTCTCTAGAGATTAATGGGAAGGTAAGTAGAAAGTTTTCAAGTTTTATGTGCCCTTTCCCTATATAATTTCCTGAGATCATAGAATTACATTTTATTTACTGAATTAAATTAACTTTAAATGAATTTCAATGACACTCACTATTAAACTTCATGAAAAGTCCTGGGGAAGGGGTACTTTGAAAGTGCTATTTCTGTATGTAAGTAGAATGGGATTCAAAGGCAAAATTCCTCTTAAGGGAAGTATGCAATATTTTAGACACTGTATCAGAAAAGGGTTAGGAGAAGGTTCGGGTCTTTGTGAGAGCCCATTACGTTATCAATAGATGTAGGCTGTCTAGCAAGAAGTCATGAAATTTCTCTTCAGTTCTTAAGACAGCATGATTTACTCATAACACATCCCATTATCTCATCCAGGCCATTTATAAAAGTATTCAAAACAAAAATTACAAATAGAATCAGGTTGTAAGGAAATCTGTCTCAGTATCCACTAATAAACATGACTCTCTTGGTTTCGTTTAGTTAGTCTCTAACAGTTTCCTTTGTGCCTTTTCTTTGTGTAGTAGTTGGGCCTCCTGGTTGGGACATGAAGCCACATTAATGAAACTATGTCAAAACTCCCACAGCCAGAATTCTCTTTGTATTAATTCTGTAATACTGATTCTGGTTACTGTGTTAGTGAGTTAGTCATTTCTCACATATATTTCTTGATACAATGTGTTAAATAAATGCGTTTTGGAAAACTGGTCTTAAGCACAAAAGGAAAGCAAGGTTTTAACATAACACTTTCTGCACAGTAAGGGACTTCTCTCTCTCTCTCTCTCTCTCTCTCTCTCTCTCTCTCTCTCTGTGTGTGTGTGTGTGTGTGTGTGTGTGTGTGTGTGTGTGAATCTAAGATACTGAGATCTTGGGTACTCAATTCCCAAGTAAGGAATATTAGACAAGAGTCAGTCTTTTAAAACTCTCAACTTATCTGCTGAAGTTGGAAACCTGCACACCTGTCTATAGGACTAAGATGAAGAGGTCAGCACATGCTCCTTCAGCTCCTTGGCATCTATGCCGTAGTCACGTCCTATCCAGGGCTGAGACTCTGCTCAGGTTCATGAGTGTGTTTGAATGAACTATTTATTAATATCCACTGTTAAAAGACAGTCTGTATATACTTACATGCTCAGAAACTCTGGACGCTTTATTTTTAAAACTGTTCTTTTCTTTTTAAAAATTATTTTTTCACTTGAGAGGCAGAGGCAGGTGGATTTCTATGAGTTCAAGGTCAATCTGATCTACAAAAGCTAGTTCCAGGACAGTTAGAACTGTTACACAGAGAAACCTTGTCTCAAAAAAAATTATTTCGTAGAGAAAAGATGACAATGGGCCTAATTTCTAATTATGTGCTCGGTATACATAACAGATTTGTTTTGCTCTTAAATGGTTGATTTAATTCAGCTATCTAAATAATCATATTGGAGAACTCATATTTATTCAAAAGCTGACTCCAACAATTGACCAAAAACATCTCAAACACAAACTGGCTAATCTATTAAGTACTTTATGATGCAGCTGATCCCCTTTAGTGTCTGTCCTTCTAAGCATAATTCTTGGAGCCAAGAAGGGAAAATCATAATTACTGAATGTTTTATGCCTGCTTTTTTCCCCAGCCATTCAGCTGGTCAAATTTCACAAATGAAATCATGTCAACTGTGAACATTAATATTCAAAATGAGGAAGAAGTGATTGTTTATGCTCCAGAATATTTAACCAAGCTTAAGCCTATTCTTACCAAATATTCTCCCAGGTAGGTATGTCAGAGTGTCCCCATCCTCAAAGTTTACATTTTATATAAGTCTTTAGAAGCTTTGCAGCCTCACTTTTCTGTTGCTGGGTGGTGGGGTTTTTTTTTCTTATACAGAGATATTCAGAATTTAATGTCCTGGAGGTTCATAATGGATCTTGTAAGAAGCCTCAGCCGAAACTACAAGGAGTCCAGAAACGCTTTCCGCAAGGTGAAGACAAAAATCTCTCTTTTCTTAAGCCCCAAAGCGTAAAGAGATGCATGGCTATAAATGCTTTCTGTGTACACTGCTAGAATGTGCTGGTCCTTCCCAAGAATCCAAATACCCAGATTTGGTTGTCTTGCACATGTGTAGAGAGAGGTCACTGATGGCTCTGCCATCCTACGCTGGTCTGCTACGGTATCATGAGCTCATAGCCCTGTAAGGAGTTACCCGTAGTTGTACAAAAGAATACTGTATTGATTTGTTGTTGCCGATGTGTTAAAGTCCATCTCAGAGGAAATCAGTTTCTCTATTGATTTGATTTTCAGGGGCTCATGGCACAGTGGGTGTATATAAAGACAAACTTCTTTGTCCTTGCGTGCCTTAGGAAGAACATTAGCCTGAAACTAGAACCTAAAGCTTTTTCTTAGCTTGTATATACATTATCTACACAGTCATTCAATCCCGATATTAAGAGAGAGGTCAGTAGGGACTAAAGAGGGAAAACTCTAACATACTGGTTGTTGTCCTGGCAAAAAAAAAAAAAAAAAAAAATATAACTGCTTGAAAGTTGATAAATAAATTGATAAATTTTTATGCAGGGCTGAGAAGGGACTCTCTTGCAAGAGCGCTTGAGCATGGTTTTCTAAAACGACAACAAATACCCCAAACAGCAAGTGTGCTCACTCACACCTTTAATCCCAGCACATGGGAGACGGAGCGAGCCGGAAGGCCAGCCTCACTCCCGCCAGTGTGAGGCTAGTCTGGCCTACATGAGATTTTGTCTTAAATCGATAAATACAAATAAGTAAAGACTGCAAAACAGAACATTATCTCAGTAAATTTCCAATCCCCTTATTGGTACTAAAACTTGTGTAGACACAATTTTCCTAACGTACCTGAAATTCAGCTAAAACATTAAAAGGAGAAATGTGTTTGTTCTCTTGGGTGTAAGATTTCCTCTCTCTTGCTTTATCGAACATTTCTTCACGTTTATGCTTGTATAGTGGCCACAAGGTTGTATTTTCTCTCCCAAAGCTTCCCTGAACGTTATTAACTCGTCATAGCTAAAAGTTCTACTGGGACATGCCTCTGAAAAGAGACCTTGTTTGCGCAAGCCCTTTTTCTTTTCTTTTTTTTTTTTTTTTTAAGTAAACAATCCAGCCGGATTACATTTTATCGTAGCTTAGGGACAACTGCTCTGTGAAGAGAAGCATTGAGTACAGCAAGAACTTAAAGCAGACAGGAAGACTAGGTTTGTAGGCTGCCTGCTCTTACTGCTCACTGTCCCTGACTCCTAGTCAGAGGCCGATTTCCTTCTCTCTTCTATAGGCCCTTTATGGCACTACATCAGAGACGGCGACGTGGAGACGGTGCGCTAACTATGTCAACGGGAATATGGAGAACGCTGTAGGGAGGCTTTACGTGGAAGCAGCCTTTGCTGGAGAGAGCAAACATGTGGTAATGTTCTAACAGAGCTCATCGGCATCTAAACAGCATCCTGGTGCTTCATTTGGTTGATTAACAGTTACAGTTGTTCACATCTTAGCTCAATTTTTGTTAATTAGGCAATGAATCTGGGTATCATAGTATACCATTGTTCTCAACAGAGTTAGCCTTCTATCCCTTAATATCTGGTTCTGTCTCTGCCTTCATGTTGTCTAATTGAAAGTGCTGATGTGTTTTTCTGGAAGCAGTGATGTTAGTGTTCACAGCCATGTATTAGACTAATAAGGTCTTCTATTGCCCAATTGACCATTTCCTTAAACACCAACAAAGTAAACTACAGTTTACTTGAAGTATGAGAAGCATAACCTATTTTCTAATAACTCCTGAAATTAAGACAATGGAGCGTAATGGCACAGTGAAACAATTTATTGAAATGTTACATCTTGCTTAATTGGACCACTTATGACAGTGACAGCTAATATTCTAATCTTCTAAAAGGATAGCAAGAACCAGGACATTCTGGAGGTAATTTTAGCTTCTTGTATATAGAAAGACCTCTTCAATTGGGAAAATTCGATAATAGCAGTATTGTCTTAAGGTGTAATAGTTCCATATGCTCACTTACATCCATTTGTTTGGGGTCACAATTCGTCTGTATGTAAATTTGTATGTGTGAGCATACACCTGTATCCTTAAAGGCAGCATGGAGCGCTGTTTGAAAACTGCAATGAAGAATGAACTCCTGGGCTGTATTTCTACATTCGACTCTATTAATAAGCTAATATTTGTTTTGCTTTGAGGTTGAAGATCTGATTGCACAAATCCGGGAAGTTTTTATTCAGACTTTAGATGACCTTACATGGATGGATGCTGAAACAAAAAAGAAAGCTGAAGAAAAGGTAAGGACCAATCAGAGCCATCAAAGAAAATTTACTTATAGGGGAAAAAACATACCAAAATTTGCATAAAAGCTATAAGTCTAGGAGGAGAGCAATAGCTCCATTGGTAAACACTTGCCTTATAAGCTTGAAGCATGAGGATCTGAGGACCTAAAACCCATGTTAAAAACCAAAAGTAGGTGTAGTGGCATACATCTGAAGTTCCAGCACCGGGAAGATGGAAGATGGGTGTATCCCTAGCTCACTAGCTGGCCAGCCTACTCGGTGAGTTCCAGGACCATCAGAGACTGTCTCAGAGAGGGTCTGGGAAGCAATAAACAGAAATAAGTAATGGGACATTTAAAATAAATGCACTTACATAATAATAATGTAAAATTACTAATGAACAGTGGACAAATACGAGGCAGGTAACAAAGAAACCCACTTCCCACTCATGTAGCTAATGCCATTCCTTTAACTCGAAGATCTGCACTGACTTTGGGGATGAAAGGGAACAAAGACTGGAGGAGCCAATATTCAGGAGTGTATTAGCACAGTGCCCGTGGAGCCCTTCTCTGTTTTCTCAGCAGAATCAATGAAGTGGAAAGATAATTATATCCTGCAAGATTGGGAGCACTAAATGTTATTCCTTCAATAAAAATTGAAAAGTCTGGAGAGGAAAAAAAATTTCATAAAACTACATTACATGTGTAGCAATGGCTTTTGTTAGTTTCCAGGGGGAAAGCTGCAGCCCAGAAAGACCGAAAGTGTTAGGCGCTAAGTCTCAAGACTTTTTATTCGTTTTGAACTAAGGTAAAGAGTCATTGCAGAGAACATTGGTTAAGTGCTGTCAGGTGCTTCTTTTGTAAATGACACACCAGGCTCTTTAATTGCTGGTTGTGGACATGTGATGTTTGTATGTGAAGGTTGTGATTATGGAGGTGATTTATCCCCACTTCCAATGTTGTCATTTTCACAGGCCTTAGCAATTAAAGAAAGGATTGGTTATCCTGATGACATCATTTCCAATGACAACAAGCTGAATAACGAGTATCTTGAGGTGAGTCTCAGAAGCGGAGTATGGGGCTGATGGCAACGTCACTGTAGCTCAGGAATGTCAGGCACTGTAAAACAGCCTAAGACTGTAGATCCCATAGCGCTATCTAAAACCTGTAACGTTAATACCCAAATTGTGTTCAATTTAAACTTTGTTGTCCCTGTAGTGGACTGTATTTGGTTTCTATGTATTTCATTTTAACAGTGGTGAGAAAAGCCTTGCATCCTTTAGAGTCGTGTTATATTTGCATTATAGTTCATAACAGTAGCAAAATTACAGTCATGGAGTAGCAATGAAAAATATGTCTGGGGGGTTTATCACAACATGAGAAGCTGTATTAAAGGGTCACAGCTAGGAAGCTTGAGGAATACTGCTCTAGAGCATCAGGGGTAGACGGATGGGTTGCCCACAGACTCTCACAGTGGTTTGCAAGGCTATAAAAGTCACAGATCCTTCTCTTTCCTAGTCATCACCCTGGTGAGCGTTGCACAGTCTGCCTCCTCTCTTAAAGACCAGAATAACTGAGAACCTTTTTTTGAATATTCTCTGGTAGTGTAACTGTTAAAAGAGGTGACACTGTTTAATGTCACTCTATGCCTGTGATCAGGCTTGCCTGAGATGCTCAGTGTTGTCCTGTGACCACACCTGTGACCACCGACTTAACACCCTGGTCACAGCAGGTGACACACCCCAGGTCTGCGATGACATGCATGGCTGATTCACCAAGTACTAGTAGGAGGTTTACACACCAAAATGTTCATTCCTTCTTTTCCATTCACAAAAGAAATCAGTTTTCTTGGGTTTTTTTGTTTGTTTGTTTGGTTGGTTGGTTGGTTGGTTGGTTGGTTGGTTGGTTGGTTTTGCCAGAAGAGAGGATTGCCTAAGATCAGAGACAGACTCAAAGCTAAATACCTGGGCTCCAAATTCGAGTTCTCTTGCTCTTTTAAATCTTAGCAAATGACCTGAAACATCTACACTCACAGTCTTCAGCTTTAAAATCTGATCTCAGCTGTTAGGCTACAAGGTTCTTAGAAAGCGTAAATGAGTAATAATAAATACTTAAAATACAAAGAACAGTGCCAAGGACAGTGGGTACTAAATAAAGAGGGCGTGGTTATGCACGATTGTAGTCTGGAGAATGATATCAGTATTGTGAGGTTGGCCTGACCTTTGCTTCATGTGTGGTTATAAAAGAATACACTAAAGTTACAGTATAACATATGTAACAAGGCTGATATATAACATATACAACATATAGCAAGGCTAATTGGGAATAGAGCATCCTTTAGTAAGTTTTTAATGCCGTTTCTTACCTGTGCTAACTTGTTTTCTAGCAGTACTGTGATGAAGCCGGCATTAATGTTTCTTTCAAATCTTTTGTCTAATGCAGTTGAACTACACGGAAGATGAGTACTTTGAGAACATAATCCAAAATCTGAAATTCAGCCAAAGCAAGCAGCTGAAGAAGCTCCGAGAAAAGGTGGACAAAGATGAGTGCGTACAGTCTGTTTCCTAATTGCTCATTCTGGAGCAGGCCCTCTCCTGCTGGCTCTGGTCCCTTGACCATTGCAATACCCCCTTCCCTCAGGAGGTTCTGAGAACGTCTAATAATCAGACTGTATTAATAGCACGGGCCAGGAACTTCAAACCAAAGCCTTTCTCCACTAAGGCACCCTCACACTTAACTTCATCTCTTGATTAAGTGGCTTCTTAGCTGTCGCTGTCTCTAGCATTTTGATGGACAAGTTTTTCAGAAACACCTTAGCTTAATGTGACTTTGCTCTTTAAGCCCGTGCTTGGGCCTTACTCTGCATCCAGAATGTTCTTCCGCTATTAGTGCCTACTCTTTCTATTAGCCAAGCATCCCACAAGCCCACTCTCTTTTCTGATTGCTTCATGTGACAAATCCTTTAACCCTGCAAAAGCTACATAGGAGATCCAGGGATCATTAGGAGCAATAACTTCTGAATAATACCCTCCTCTTCATGTTCATCTCAGTGTTACTTCATAATAACTGTTACTTGTGACCTTTGCTTTTCCACTAAATAGGTGATACGCGGAGATTGACCAGCATATGTGCTGAGTCCTCAAACCCATTGAGTTCCTTAGATTGGTCTTCCAAGACTTTTAACCCTGTAATAACCGAAGCCATTCTCGGTGCCTAACACTGAGCTCAGTGGCAATTACAATTAGTGAATGTCCAAGCAACTGAAAACTAAATGCCCCGCCTTGATTTGTGTATTGACTAACAATGTGTTTCATTAAGTTTTTTTTTTCTGTAACTACTGTTCTAGAGACATGACTAGCCCAGTTGTCATCGGGTCCTGGAAAATTAAGAGGCAAATAACAGCAGGCCGTAGATGATCTTTACAGCAGAACTTGTGTGATGCAATGGCTTGTACCACAGGACAGAAACATGCCGGGGAAAGTCCAAAGATATTTTAATATTTTAGTGCACAGCCTATGTGCTACATTAGTCTTGTTTGAGCCATTCTCAAAGATTCTGAGACAGCTACAATGCGGCTCCCAAGCTCTCTGCCATCCAGTGCCAGCTTTTTCTCTCTCCCTCTTCTTTCGCATTGAATGCAATGGTCCAAACATCTGGCTGCCCATTAGAATCACATGGGCAACATTAAAAAACAATAGTGATGCCCCAGCTCAGAGGTTCTATATCAGGATTCATTTTCTCTAAGACTCAGAGCCCCAAAACTGGAACTCTTCTTAAGTAGCACCCTCCAAGTACAGACCTCAGAATTAGCCTCCTTTTGTAGCATCTTCTGCATTTCGTTTTAAAAATATTAAATTCGTTTAAAAAAATACTCTGGCTATAACCACATTAAATAGCTAGGACTGAATCCTATGAGGTGCATGGTATTTAAAGTTCCCTTTATTTCATTTGGGCTTCTCCCTGTGAAAGTTTCTGACTGATGTGGCACCTGTTTAATAGGGGAAAAGTCACCGTTGTTGTCCCTTTCCTTGTTCCACGCGTCCTCAGGTCCAAGTCCTCACTGACCTTCAGAAAGACAAATCTATAGCCTGGTCATGTGGCCGGAAGTCACGTGTCGTTTTCAGATCCTCATTCCCAATGACTTGTCGGAGGATTATATGTCCACAGACATACTGAAAAGATAGGGGAGAGCCTGTGAACTATTATCTGGTTGTACTACAGGGTATGTTAGAGGAATGCTGATTAATGCATTAAAATTCCAAGGAACTAGCAATATAAGTAAATTCAACTAACTAACTAGTAACTCCTAGATCATACCACTCCATGTGCTCCCCTCCCCGCTTGGGCACATGCATTTACTTCTTGAAGGTGTATACCATCCTTATTGCATCTGAGTATTTGAATCTGGCCCAGATCCGTCTGCGGAGCTTTACATTTAATATCTAGCTGGTTAGCAAGCATTTCTATGTAACTATATCATTAACCACATAAGCACAACATTTTGCCACATAGGCAAAAATTAATCTTGTTCCTTCTATCTGTCTGTTTTCTAAAACCTTCTACCTTATTATTCCCACCCAGATGGACAGCATGGCCTCCTCTTGATCACTCTGGGCTTTTCTATTTCATCTGTAGTGCTCTATCCAAAGAAAAGGACTACCTTCCCCTGCTGCTGATTAAATATTATATGGTTATATTTAAAACCATCTCCAGTTGCTTCCTCACCATATTTTTCCCTGTTGTTTTCATTTTTTTAAAAAAAAAATTATTGCCAATTATCTCATGTTTTCACTTCATGCTCACACTGCTATCCCCAGGGTCTCGATGATACAGCTTGACTCATGTTCTTTCTCGACGAAAACCTTTCCTGTCATTCCTGTTGCTTAGCTCAAGAAATATGAACCTTTATAAAGGTCAAAAGTTCCCATAGCTCTCCAGAATCCCTTAACAGTCACCCACACTGCCGGCTCAGTCCAAAACTCTGCTGATATTCAGTGCTTCCAAACCACCCTCTGCCCTTCCTTCGTGGTTTCTGAGCTTGTAGTATCCTATTTTATTTATTTATTTATTTTGAGACAGGGATTCTCTGTGTAGTCTTGACGCTTACTATATGGATCAGGAGGACCTCAAACTTACTGAGATCTTCCTGCCTCTGCCTCGCAAGTTCTGGGGTTAAAGGTGTGCGCCATCACTTCCAGATGTAGCATTTGTTTAACAGGAACCTCTGCCTGACTTGACTCGAGTGTTGTGTCTTTAGTCATTGTCCGTCAGCCCCTTTTTGCTCACCTTTTTGATCATCAAACTCTCACAGTTTGATGTTGCTCAAGAAGCTGATTTTTGTAGAAGGAAGAAACCACTATCTCAAAAAAAATTGAACATAGATGAATAGAATATGGATATTTCATGCATGGCAATAGGTTGTACAAATGGCCAATCTGTAATAATGTTGATAAAATTATTTCAGTAGATAACATAAAAATGCCTCCAACTCCACATTTTACCCCCACGTCTTGTGAATATATACATCCCTGTGACTTTTTTCTGTTAAACAATTTTTAAAACTTGTTTTAAAAACAAGGAGTATACATGCAATATGTCCAAGTTAATCATTTGGCTGAAGGGCCTCCCTTTACCCTTGTGAGTAGCTCACACCTGCAAAGAACAAAAATTTTAATAATTTTAAAACTTCATATGGTTACTGAATGACTATGTGTAACTTTTTTTTTTAACTCTGAATGTGATGTCTCCTGAGGGTTTGGTGCAATTGCAGAGGAATTTCAAGCATGTCCAGTTCAGAGAAAAATAGCCCTGAACTGGGAGTATAAGTGTTGGCAAGATTACTTAGTAACACATCTAAATTCAATTACTTGTACTAAAAGGATAACTCGCTGAGAGTTAACAGAACAAAAATAAACCTCAAGGCATGTGTGTTCGTGAACAACAAAACAATTAAGGCTTCCTTAGGAGATTCCTAGATTTGGTACTGACTTAAAGAAAAGTTGAGGTTTGTTTCGTTTTTGTTTTTGTTTTGTTTTTGTTTTTTGACTGATCAGTAAAGCATTCTCTGAGAATGCTGGTTAGAAGCTAAATTAATGAGTAGAACGGAGTAGTGACTGATTCTACTGCATGGACTGACTTTGTGAGAGCCTGGTTTGTTTGAATGCTCACCTTTATAGACCTGGATGGAGAGGGGAGGACCTTGGACTTCCCACTGGGCAGGGAATTGCTCTTAGGGCTAGAGAGGGAGGGGGAGGTGAGAAGGGGGAGGGAAAAGGGAGGCAGGGATGAGGTAGAAATTGTTAATAAATAAATAATAGGAAAAAAAACAGGACAAAAAGAAAAAACAAAAACAAAAAAACAAAACAAGACTTCCTAACCCATAGGATGTCTTCCTTACTCCGTGCCTGCTGGGTTTTCTGATCAGTATAATCAGATGATGGCAGACTGAAGTCAGTAGACACCTAGAGACCACAATAGATGCTGGCAGACCCCAACAGAGCATCAAAACGTCCCTTAGTCCCACTTCACTAGAGAGGACAACTCAGAACTCTGACACCGTTACTATGCGTAATCTCTTGAGAGGACCGTGCTCAGATGGGGTACTGCCCTAGTTGCCGCAGCTCTCTATGACTGTAGAAAGGCAATATGCTTCATCCTCCCCATCACTGGGCAAGCTGGGTCAGTCCTGTGGAGCAGCCATTAATAGGCCTGAATATTTGGTGGGTGCCTATCGTGTTCCCAACAGTGTGCTAAGTCCTCGTGGTTCAAGCTAAAAATAAAACATGGACTGTCACTACCTGTGAAGCTACTTCTAATCAGCTGGAGAGTTGGCGCCTTGGTGTGGAGTCAGGTAAATACAAAGGGTTGCATGGAATAGAAGAGGTTTGCGTTTCTTACGAGGAGTTCTCAGGATTACCTAGTATCCGGAAAAGTGGATTCTCCTGGTTCAGTATCAGGAGGGTCTTGGTCTTCAGACAGATTCAGTCACCGACTGTACATTAGTTGCGGTCGCTACTCAAATGCAATGTTCAGAGACGGTCTTTAGTTCTTCTGCACTTTTGTTTAGGCCTTAAAGTCCTATGTGTGTGGAGGAGGAAAGGAGAGTGAGCTGTGGAACTAGAGTGGACTGGTAGGGTAGGGTTTGGGTAAACAAGGATTTCTGTACTTTACCTATGGTCTCTATAAACTTAGCCTCTGAGCTTTGTTTTTGGGATGATGGGGTTTTTTGTTTGTTTGTTTCTAATTTTGTTTTTGGTTTTTCTAAATTTAGTTAATAACATCTATTTTTGCCTTGAAAAGAAGGGGATATGGTAAGCAAGAAAGAGAAAAGGCCCTCTTTATGTTGAAAATAGAAAGGCATTAAGCACTGCACTGGTATTTGTGCATCGTGTGGATCAGCAGTTTGGTGGTGTGGGTTGGGAGGAAGGCAAGCACGCCATCTTTCCCTTTCCCTTAAATATGTTTTCCTCGGTTTATCACTTAGTGTCTACATGTATTAGGGTAGAGCTAAGGGACTACTCAGTGACTCAGTTTCCCTACCTACAGA